CAGGCGTGCCGGTGCAAGAATGAAAGCGCCATGCTAAGTCTTGGGAAGCCGAATATGTGGGGAACCGAAGCGAGGAGTACAGTGAGACGAGCTCGATAGGCCCCGCGAGTTTGTGTGTGTGCGAAGAAAGATAAGGGTGGGACCACTGATTCGATTGCGCAGAAGATTAGTGATACGACTCATGCGGTTAGAGCCGTCGTTCACGCACGCATGCGTGTACATCCTCCTCGCCCAGCCCCGACAGTCCCCTTGCCGCTTTGCGAATTGGCCTCGAGTCTTCCGGTTTGCGGGAAAGTTTGTCGGTAGTCTGTCAAGGAAGAGGTCAGCAAACGCGCCGCAAAACTGCAATGCTCGTTACACACCTTTAGCAAGACCCTCTAAATCCCGCGCCAGCACAACGCCCTGAGACTGCCAACACGTAGTCGTTTGCGCCAGTTTTCAAAGCCAAATCAATTGAAGACGGCTGAAAAAAATGAATACACGAGCGGGAGAAAAGGGCCATACACACCGGCCTACTCAACGGCCTGCGACCCCAGTAGTGCCGAGTTCCGGCTACGAGGGGACATATAGAGTAGGTCGTTTTTGTGATTCTTCGTGTCGTTGGCCCGTCGCGGAAGCTACAAGAAAAGTTAGCAAAAGCGGGCTGACAGACCGGATAGCGCACCTTCCTGCTTCCCCGCTTATGGCCACGGCTTCGACGACGTCAAGCTCCTGCTCCTTCAACCCAATCACCTTGGCGCGGTCGCACGGGCAGGGTCTCACTCAGCGTGTCCGGTTCCACAATGGCTGGGAGGACACTTGGGAATGAAGCACAAGAGTCAGCGACGGGGTATCCGCGAGGGATGGTGATGACTCGCGTGCTCGCCAACTAGGTGGCCGAGCGGAGGAGATGTCGTCGTGTGGGTCGGTCGTCGTGGTGGAGGGAGAAGAAGAAGATCGGTGATCACATGCTCGGACCGGTGCCGATCTACCTTCTCTCTTCTCCACCACGACGATGGCAGACTCACCTTCCTCCTCGCTGTCCGACACAATCTGTGGCTTGTTCGCGTCCTAAAGCAGAGGTGTGTGGCCTTGCGTAGTGCATCTTCTCTTTGCTGACCTGTCTTGCAAGTAGTTCGGCGGTGAATGCTGTCGCGGTTCTCCCTTCTCCGACCATGCGATGGCCGACTGAGTCGTTCTCGAAAGGACTGACACCTCTCAGGCCCGCGGTACTCGAAACAAGCCGCGTTCTTGTCGCCTCACTCCTGAAGGGGAAGCTTTCAAGTTGGGGGCTGAATCGAGGCGCAGGAGACCGGAGGCTGGCGGCGGGAGCTGACGCGGTAGATGATATGGGAGAGGAAACGCAACGTTTGGAGGACCCGTATGGCGCCGGCGCTGGTATTCACGGTGCGTAAAGCTATGCGCTTGTGCTTGCCAAGGTCGTCCCTAACATTCTTCCTCGTAGACTCTCTTTCGACACGCTGCATTCTCGTCCATACTTATATTGCCACCTCCTCGGTATACAAAGGCCATTTCCTTGTACAGGAATCCGATAAGTATCTCCTCCAAACGACACAAGGACGCCGGCGGGAACAACTTCCCTATTTCAAGACCTTATCCGTGTCCAGCGCTGCGGCATACTCGTAGGATCGTTAGGTTAATCACCAGTCGCGCATACGCGTAGAGCTCTTGCTCTATTCGTCGATACACCACCACGATTCTTCAGTAATCCCTGCCTCTCCGCACCTCCGCCTCCACCACCATCTCCAACCCACACCTCTCCGTCCCCATCTCCCCCGCCCGTGGCCAGCGTCCCCGTCCGTCGATGTCTCCCTCTCAAAATCGGCCAGGTCACGTGCCACGCCGGGCCTGCGGTCCCGCCGCCGAAAAACCCTTGCTACCTCCTCATAATCAAGCACGACGCGTATCGCTCTAGGTCTATCGAGCGTACCTCGTGCTGCCACGCATAGAGGGCTTTGCACTCATATCTTTGCCCCAGCGTCCCGTCGTTGGGGACAGTTCCGGCGGGTGCCAAGCGTATGGTCACTATGGCAGCAAGGGGAAAGGGCGGGCAGGAACGAGTGCGGTGGATGTACAGCGTGCTTGGCGGTAGATTGGTGGTGCTGGGTGTCGGGATTTCAAGAGCTAACCGCGCGCTCAAGGTGCGTAAAGTCATGTGCTTCTTCTTGATGTCGTTCCTGATATTCTTCCTCGCAGGCTCTCTTTCGACTCGGACGCGCTCCGTTCCCGTCCATCTATTGCCACCTCCTCGGCATAAGACATGTTTTCGAAGGCCATTCACTGGTGCAGGATTCCGATATCTCCTCCAAACGACACACTGTCGTTTCAAGAGCCCAGTGTCCGCGTCTGGCGCCGCGGCATAGGATAGTCATTACGGATGGCTCTGGTGTGTATCTCCAGTCGCAACCCAGCTTCAGTCGCTAACGAAGCTTCCTAGTCCCATCTACATGCGCCACTCGCCACTCACTAGTAACTCGAGACTCGAGACTGTCTTGAGTGACGAGTCAGTCACTACAGCTGAGTCGATGGCGCGGACTTTTATTCATTCCACGAATAGCTGTATTCAGACAGAATAGCTGTATTCAGACAGTAAGTATGTACTCCTTGTCCTTCTTGCGCTATCTGAAGCTGCTTCTAGCTCCAAGACTCGGACGGCCACGACTTCCAGCCTGAGCCCAAACAGGTTATCGCTTCCCCACCAACCTGCGCACTCGCCTCTTCCTTCTCTCTCGACGCCTGCACTATCTTGGCTGGCACGGAGGCAGGGTTGGCGACTCCGAGGGCGAACGATTCGAAATTAAGTTGTCGGACGACAGCTTGCATACCCGGAACTTCTCCACTTCCCCTGGGCCCGCAGGTTAGTGGTATATGATGCGGAGTGCTCGTTGATGAGTCTCTTCAGTACCAGGAATGTCGCGCTCAAGACGCAGATCGTGGTGGTGAAGAACGGAGATCACATGTCGGCCCGATCTTAAGCTTCCTTCTTCTTTTCCGCGACGACGACGACGGGACCGACTTCGTCTTCCTTGCTCCCTATCGCGCGGCTCGGAATTGCACTGCTAGAGCTGCTGACTGCTCCGGTCTTTCCAGCCGCCCAGTGCCCAAATGGCTTCGCTGACACGCTTTCGCAGACGGCGCGGCTCTTGACGACGGGGACAGGGGTGTGGCGATACCGGCGAATGGGAGTAGCTGTCAGGATATTGGCTGGGAGAGTAAAGCTGGCTGCCTACCTGCTCCCCGACACGTTCTGACTTTGCCACCAGAAACAGCGCCACCACTGAGCTCCCCTTTATCGTCAGCAACCGGCGCTGTCATCGCGCTGTGCCGACCTCTTTCGGCCATTGTATCTGTCATCTGACGGCGGAAGGCCACGTCTCGGTCGATTTCGCAAGGTGACCTGTGGGACGCGACGCAGCGCGCGCATGGGCGATGTATGTTAAGGAGAATGGATGGTGGATTGGTGATGTCGGGCGGCTCGGGCCTTGCTTCGACGGACTGCGAGCCGCGTTTGCCGTTTCGCGGAGGGCTATTGTGTCTGGGAGCGGAGCGAGGGCCGTGGCGTGAGTCTCTGCTGAAATCAATTGTTTCGCTCATATTTTTTCAAGGGTTAGATATTCTTGCATGTGTTGATACCGCAGAACGGAGAGGAGCCCGTTATATATGCAACCTTACTGATTCACGAACTGCAATGAACGTGTCTGTCTTTAACCACCGTACTACGAGCCGAGGGCGTCGCGTAAGGCGCCACTCTCCAGTACTCAAAGTCTATTTGGATTCAAAATTCGCCACGTTAGCGTCAGACGGCTCCAGAATAGGGCCCCGCTCGACCAGCGCCAACCGATAACGATACACCTCCAGGATGCCTTCCACCGTGAGGGGCCTATTCTTGCTGCGGCGATACGCCGTGCCCAGCTCAATCGTCTTGTCGACGTCTACGAGGCCCTGTCTTCAAGTAGACACAGCTGGGGTTAGAACGAGCTCGGCAAGAGCAGCCTAAAGAACGCACTCCTCTGCCTCGTCCCACCGCTTGTCCGTGCCGCGCACACGCGATCCAAACTCGCTCAGTCGCTCCCACATACCCTTGGCCAGCGCATTGCGGTCCATCTCCGGTGTGATGAGATACCCGAGTAGCGCGGGGTTGAGCAAGGCTTCCTTTACTGCGGAGAGCGTAGGTTGCGAGCGCTCGTCGAGGTAGTGCAGCGCGATGCCGTGCGGGCGAAGGAAGGCGTTGAGGGTTTCCATGGGTTGCGTGTGAGATGTCGTGGTCTGTCTTTAATTAGACCTGGCAGCAGTGAACGGGGAGGAAGGCGCGAGGCAAATGTCCCCGGCATCCACGGCCGCCTCTCAAAACCCATGTGCTAGGAAAGTGGGAGAGCCGAAAGGCATGAAAGAAGCGCCGCTGCGCCGGAGAGGAAGCTTGTGTGCTTTTGGTTTTCGGAAGCAGCACGTGACTGGATTGGGGATAAGAAGCAAAAGTGGAGGAGTACATTGCAGTAGCGCTGACTGGTTAACGCCTCGCGAGGGAACAGCGAGTGAAAACGGAGGGACAGATTCCAGTGAAGCAAAGGATGTAAAGATAACAATGGAAGATGGTAACGGTGAGTAGAAGGAGGGAGAACACGATCTATTATAGTATTGGTAGTGGAGGAATTAGAGGCAAGGATCGTCTGGAACCGCGTCAATAAGGACGACACACTCACTTGATCAATCAGCACCCCCTCCGCGACCAACTCTCCTCCTTTCCGTGCCCCAGCAAATTTTCCAGCCTCGCGACCCTGCCCGCGACCAAGTCCACTCGCAGACGAAAACGCATCCAGCGGAGCCCTTACACTCCAGTACCATGGGCCAAAAGAAATAGACACCATGTGCGATTATGGCCGCAGCATGAGATCCGGTCGATAGAGCCGCAGAATGCGCCATTGAAGAGGAGTATCGTGTCGTCGAATCGAGCGACGGGTCACGCGTGACGGCACGTGCAGGGAAGGGAGAGAAGCGGCAATTTACGTCGGCGTGCTGGGGATACAGAGATGCGATTGGAGACTGAGTTGTAGTTTTGTCTTGCCCCTCCCTCTCGTGCTCCCCCTTGCTCGACGGCCAAATACAACAGTTTCGCGGATGGGATGGGAAGGTCCAGCGCCGAGCGGCCGGTGGCGAGACAGCCGTCGAAGACACAACCGTAAACAACTTGAAGAGCAGGGGCTGGTCTCGCGGCCTCTCTCTCTCCTCGTTATTTCAAGAAGCAAAGCAAACGAGAAGCCCAACAGTTTTGTGGTCATATCTGGTGGGTGGGACGTTTGCGAGAGAAGGAAGAAGAAGAATGGAGCTTGAATGGGCGGAAACATTGTCAGCCCCAGCGTGAAGAACACATTATTAGAAACGCACATTCCAAGCGCACGATTTTCCATATCCAGAGCCCCTCCCTCGCGCCACAATCTGAAGGTAATTCCGGTCCAAAGTGGTGCCATGCAGAATTCGGGGTAAGAGCCTTAGAACGGGGGATATTGGGTGAAGGGAGCGGATGGTGCATGCTCGATATGCCTCAGGCAGTGTGTGTGGAGAATAAACCGGGAATAGAGCAGCTGGATGGATTGCGGAAAGCATTAGCGACAAGTTGGTGCTCAACGCACGTTTCGCGCGGCAGCTCCCAGTGTTCCCATATCCTTGCCGCAGTATCCTTCACGGATGTGTGCTTGGGAGTTCAGCGAGTGTCTACCAGGGCCACATATCGCGCCAAACAGAAACGTTACGGGCACCAGCCTTCCTCTGGTCGTTTTCAAATGGCGACGGAAGCGGGGGACTGAAACCGGTCGAGGGTGAACTGCGGCAAGCAAGAGGGCGGCCCTGAGGGTAGTAAACCGAATTCGAAAGAGAGTAGATGGAAGAAGCGTGGAGAATAGCTGCAGACGGAGTTACTGACCACACAAATGACACGCTGGATAACACACCTGTTTGCGCTCTCCCAATCCCTCTCTCTACGTCCTTCCACTCCCTCTTCTCCTGCTTCTCCGTCGTCTGCGCCTTGATATAGAATTTCCGTCTAGTCTACCTGAAGTAAAGTAACAAGTCAGAAGAGCGGTGTTTGTGGCAGGAAAAGACAATACGCACGAGGCAAGGACAAACCAGATAGCATCGCATGACTCCCCCCGCCGTCCTGAGGCCTGGCATGGTCGAGCAGAGTGGCACATGAATAGATGGTGGTCGTGCGGGGAAGAGAGTGTCACACATCATTATTTCTCTCTCAAACGTCAATACTGCAAGCGCCAGACAGCCCTAGACTTATACGCCGCCTCTCCCATGCTGCCAGTGGCTGTCAAGACATGCTGTTCCTTCTCGCCACCGTCTCTGCCCACCTCCGCAGCACAACTGACGACTGTCGCGACATAAACGACTGTCGCCGGCTATTCGACATCATCTGGGGCTGCTTGGTCACCGTCTTCTTGTGTATCTGGGTGTCTGTGCACCCCAATGTCCCGCCACCAACGTCTGCGCGACCTAACAAGGGAGCTGGGCTATGGAGCCGTGTGAAGTGGACTCTGCTTGACGGCAATAGACCGTTATTGCACCGATTCAAGCTCATGGTCGTCGCTCTTATTGCGCCGGAGCTCATCATTGGACTGGCCGGGAAGCAGGCAATGATGGCTCATGCTTTCGCTCACGGTGCGTTAGTACTCGTTGAATCTCATCAACTAAGTATTGGCAGAATACGATCTATCTTTTACGCACGGGTTTTTTATTGTCATGGGCGGCTTCGTCGACGCAGACGGCCACCCCATCGTCACGAGAAAGCAAATCATGGCCGGAAATGTATTACGAGAGATCCAAGCGGTGCTCGAATCGGAAATCGAGGACAAAAGCAAGGGCGATGCCTTCTCAAAAGGCCTCGCACTTTGTCAAGGCCTCTGGTTCATCGCCCAATGCGTCGCCCGGAGAGCACAGCATCTCCCCCTCGCTGAGCTCGAAGTTGCAACGCTAGCGTTCGCTATGATCAACGCTCTCACCTGGGTACTGTGGCTGCCAAAACCACTCGATGTGCGGACCCCGTTCAAGCTGTCTGTAACATCTGTCCCCGCCAGCGAGAGAAACTCATTGCCATATTCCACTCGCGGCCTAACACTTTTCGAGCGATTTGAGCTTATGTTCACAAACCTATACGCGCTGTACGAGTACGACCCTCTATCAAATGTGGCCTTACCGACATTCTGGTGTGCAGCCTACGAGGACTTTCAAATCTTCTCTACTGTGCTATCAATGGGCATGGCTGTATGCGCTCAACTTCTGTGTGGCTCGCTCTTTGGCGCAATCCACTGCATTGCGTGGGCCACGGCCTTCCCCTCCATTGCTGAGATGTGGCTGTGGCGCGCAGCAGTGCTCGTTCTTGTCGCGGCACCCCTCATTCTCATCTTTTATGCATGCCTGGAAATTCAGACAACCCTCATCTCAGATGCTCATTGGCAGGTTGCACTCATTATCGTCGCCAGCACCTACTCGCTGGCCCGCATTATTCTCCTGGTGTTACCGTTATCCACCCTGCGTTCGCTGCCTGCTGCAGCTTTCAGAGATGTTGATTGGAGTGTCTACATACCTCACCTGTGAGCTAGGAGAAATATGTTAACATTTTTTGGCCGAGCACCAGTTTGGCGATGAGCATATCTTGAATTTGGGATGCAACTTGGATAAGTTATAACTCGAAGCTTCCATAGCAGCGGCCGTAAAACCAGTCAATGCCAGAGAAGGCCGGCCAAAGAATGGTGAGAAAACTACCATAGAGCATCGTCTACAGGTCAGAGCGGCGTGAGCAGCAGTATCAGCAGGTAGACAAGACGAAGGAAAAATTACTTAGATCGACGCGTGACACATCTCTTCTTCTTCATCTCCCCCACCACCACGGACAGCTACTCCGTCCTCACCAACCCGTCCTTCCTCTCCCCTACACATCCGCCCTCGTTATACACAAGCTCACGAGAAGTCCGGGGTGTCGGACAACTCACCACACGATGGCTTACTGACTGCCCGCTTGTCCACGCCAGCAGTCGTGTCCTCGCTCATGCGACGTCGCACCAGCGCCTCAACAATCGATTACCGTGGTTGCTAGGAAAGGAGGAGCACGGTATGGGCCAGCGGGATGAAGAGATAATGGTCTTCTTGGTGTGTTAAGCGCGACATTTTCCTCCCCTTTTTCATCTGACGTGTTCTTGCCCCAGATCTCGCCCGCAACTCTCCTTCCGGCGCTTTAAAAGGCTCGATATCACTCCCTCAGCTCGTCCTTGAGCGGCATATCCCGCTCCATCAGCTGTTGGACGACAACGGATATCGACAACGGAGCCAGAGATATAGCAGGACTGAAACCCCGTTAGAAGCTCACTATATGGTACGTGGCCTTCGTTTTTACTGGTCGTACCACTCACGTCTTGTCTGTAGGCAGCTAGACAACTGCCCCGCGGGACATACTTTCGCCACACGGAGGATCCCATCAGCCAACTCTCCAACACCAGCAGCAAAAACACGCACCCAGCCGGCGCGGTCACGCAGCCCGAGTTCTTCTTGCTGCTCGCCTGCGCGCCGTTCGCACAGTTGTCGTGCTTGCCGCCCGACTCGAAGAAGTCGATGCCCTTTGCGCCGTTGAAGAAGATACTGCGCGCGGTGCGGCCCTTGGCGAGGAGCACGCACTGGCCCGCTCTCGCCGCGGGTTGAGTTGCGATGACGGCACCGGTTCAGCCGGCGCCGGCGACTAGGAGGGAGGTGAAGAGGGCAGTGAATTGCATCTAAGTATAGTCGCGTCAATGCATTAACCATTCGTAAAGAGAATCACGACTAACCGTGAAGTCGAGCTGAGACGATGTCGTTTCTGCCTGCAGCTATTTATGCAGCAGCAATGTGAGCGAATGAGAATATTTATGGGGAGCGACCGACTGCTGCTGCAGAACTGTCACAGTTTTGCCGAGGGAAACGAAGCCCGCCCAAGATATCGGCGGTCGTTGAATCATGTCAGTGGCAAGCCCTGTCCTCCGCCGCGGCATCACACACCCAGCGATATCACGATTCGCTGACCGTCACGGTGTCGGCTAGTGAATATAATATGAGGACAATACACGGGAAACAATCACCAAGATACCCTACGGGCTGTCACGAAGCCTTTGCTCTATGAGTCTAGCACATGCCAACGATTCCAGAGTCTAGCACATGCCAACAATTCCAGAGGTCGCGGGAGTGGTATTCCGATTGACTTCCTTCACGGACTACCAAAGTAGTGCAGTATCGATAGCGAAACATGGTAACAAGAGCTACTCGTAAAAGTGAGGTCGTGCTCGATGGAATAATTCATCGCGGGATTGCAATGTCGATGAAGGATGGGGTTTGCAAAGCCAGGTCATGCGGGCGCAAGCGTGACCCGCGCCAGAAGGATCTGAAAAGCCTGGGGGCAATTGTCGGCGGGCATGCGAGCGCCGAGCGGCAGCGGTAGGTAGATGAACGCGACTGAAGAACTGGGTCTGAAGGTACCGGGAAACAGATAGAGTGTCGCCAGGGCATTTCGTTGTCGTTTGCGCCATAGTGCAAGCCGTGGTATTGAACGAGAATGTCGGAAGCATTGCCGGGGTGCAAATATCGAGGCAGCGGTAGCGCAAACCGCTTGACGAGCGGGAGTGCATGGTATGTAGTGTCAAAACGCGCAGGGCCTCTGGCTATCCAAAGACCAAGTAAGTACGAAACAGAAGGAATAGCGGTAAGCTTTACTCACCTCCGAGTCTATCTTATGGCTCGCCGACGACAGCAAACTCAGACCTCCGTCCCCGTCCCAAGCCACTGCCGACCTGGTGAGCCATTATAAAGCTTCAGGAGAGAGCGTAGACATACCCTCATGCGCTCAGACTGAAAATCTTTGCGACGAAACGCATCTGGGCCAGTCAAGCGGGGGCAAAACATTGAAAGCACTTGAGAACGCACGCTGCTCTCCCAGTATCCACTTCCCCAGCGGCATTTCGAGCCGCCCAAACGAGTTGGCGTCTCCGCTTGCCAGTGGTAGCACGAATGTCTGCTGTCGTAAATCTCGTTGTCGAAGACGGGGATGTCGCAGCGGTGTGGAAGGGTGAATGCGGGTGGCGATTGTGCCCGCGGGAAGTGAAACAAGCTGGGAGCATATGGGTGAGCAGAGACATTCAATGGGCAGCGCTCAGAATACACACTTCGACACCCAAGATTTCGCCTCTGCACTCTTGCCGTCACCCATGTCTCTTTCTTTCGGTACTCTAGAGTTGGCTTGCAGGCCTGCTTGACAATGCATAAATGGTGAAAGGACGGCTCGTGGGCATTCTGAGCCGCGGCATTGGCTGGGGGTGGTGGAGATGAAGAGAGAGTGATGACGTGTGACACGCGACAATCTTCGCTGACAACAACCTCCACCAGCCCGCAGAAACGACTTGACTCCCTTCCTGTTGTTGTTTTCATCTTGGCCAGCTCTGTACTTGGGTGTCTCGAGTCCTCCATAAGTAATGTTCCAACCTTTGCTTATCTATTCACCGCTCGACCGTCAAGATTGCTTCAGCTTTTTTGTCATGTCTGGCCGCGATCCTGTCCAGGCGCTCTCATTCTTCTGTGCCCCTCGCCGACCCGACCCTCCTCTTGACGGCCCTTCTATTTCTCAACTCAGAGACGAGGCAGAGCGGGTCAAAAAGACGATTCATCAACTGAAAACCCAGCTACAAATCCTTGAAGACTGCTCCAAGACGACCTATCCACCGTTGTCTACCCAATCAACACTCTCCCTGCCGAGATACTCTGCCACATCTTCGCGGCAGCAGTGTTCTCCTCTCCCTCCCTCGATGTTAACCGCACGCTACTGCAAATTACCGCTGTCTGTCAACGCTGGCGGCGGATTGCTATCGCGCATCCACACCTCTGGACGCAATAAAGTCCATGCTTAAACAGATGTGTAAACCAGTGGTTTAGGGAATAACATTAGGAAAAACTTAAAACAGCTAACATTGTAAGAATCAGTCAATTAGGTAACATTTTAAGCAGACGCTAAATTTCTATATTTACAGTGTGAATGCTCCCCGTCTCCGAGAGCTTTCCATCAGCATTCCCAGTCTGGTCTTGACACTTTCATTCCCTGCTGCTTGTCATCGAGCTTGCGCCGTATGGTAGAGGAAATCCGCGATTTGCAGCACCTGCAGAGAACATTTGGCGTTGAGGTTCTGATGCCGAATGGCCATCCGATGCGGGAATCATGGGAGTGCAAGAAGCTGAAAGACTGGGGTGTTGACCGATAATTTGTTTGACTTGTTGTACAACATTGGATATATAATAACACTTCAACTCTTGGTCCATAGACAGACAATGCGGCACTAAAAGGAAATAGACTGGCAAAAAAACTTGAGTATCGTTATTCCTCCAACAAACCGGCGACGCCAGACTTGAAGGCAAGCGACAGCAGCACGCACGTCCTCCAGCGGACACTCCCTGTCATCTAATCCTCATGGTGGAGCACCTGCTCGAACGCGAATGCCACTCTGCGGCGCGACGACCCCGCCTACATGCCCACTGTCGCTGCACAGAACACGCGCTGGACGAAGACCTTCCACTGCGGATAGGACGGCCAAAAGAATTGGGTAGAGAAAGGGAGGTGTGGGGCACATGACAATATAGCAGTGGGAGCCACAGCTGCTGTATCAGGAGAGATACATCGAAGTCTTTCGAAAGGCCATGGGTCCACGTGACTTGCCATTTTGGGACACACTTTAGATTGGGTCGTGCGGATAGCGCAGGCGTCGACAGGGAGGTGGCTATGCAAGACGGGAAGGTGATGAAGCAACGGCAGTAGCCATATCAAGTTCGGACAGCATTGTAGGGATGAGGTATGTGTCGAAACAGCGTCAACGTTGGAGAACGATCTTGACAATGGCCATAACCGTCGAAATACGCCAAGGGAAGCATTGAATGTCAGGGTGGTGGTGGCTTGCAGAAGAAGATACGGTTTGTAGGCCTCTACACAATGATTTCGCGACGCTGCACGATTGTCTGCTGGATGTGCTTGGGTCATCTCAGGCCAAAAAGGCGTTAAAAAGACAGCCGCGCGTATGTCTGGCTTTGAGGAAGCATTGATTGAAGTCGGGTTATGGGGTTTCGCATTCGTTGTCGATGAGCAAGAATCCATGGGCCTTGCAGTGGTCATCTTTCGTGAAGAGGTGATGGATGTATTGACGGGTATGTATGTGGATATGCATTCGTAATATGTCTATCTGCCCCTTAGTGGTTAGCTTCGATATTCTCAGAGCACATAATCACCCATACCAGAGTTCTCCATCGCAAGGCTATTCAAATTGGCTGTCCATTTTCGTCACTGTCGATGGTGAAGATGCTTGGTCCCGGGAGAAGGAGCGCGACAGGGCCAAAGTGGGGGTGAAACGAAGACAGAGGAGGGACAAGAGTGCCGAAGATGTGCTCGAGCCCCGACATCTGGGAGAAACGGTGGAGAATGAGTCTATTGAGCGGAAGGGGACCAGTCTTTGGCAAACGAAGGGCGTTCTCTGGCTCTGAAAGCCCTTGAAAATGGCGTTGGAAGCGATTGTGGATGTGGATACAGCGTCAGCGACAAATAAACGCGGTATGTGTGGATTAGTGAGGACTTCATCGTTGCTCCGAAGTCGCTGCACAGTATGATTTGAGAGTGAAAATTGAGTCCTAAGGTTGCTATGATACACTTGAAAAGCGAGAAAAAAAACAGGTCAACGCACCAATAAGTACCCGCAATGCACCATGACCCATGTGTCGCCCCTCGTCTAGCTTCCCTCTCCCTCTACATCCTCCCCTGCTGCAGCAGCACTTCTTTCGTCTCCATCCACCCCGTGCTTTGAGCTGAAGAAGGCGTTGGGATAGGTGGGCTGGCTTGACGACATGACCGCGCAAAGAGAAGAGGAGAATTTAGAAAGTGTGATGTCACGCCTTCTGGCTTCAAGCTTGCTCTTCCTTTCGGTTCGCGAAGAAACAACACACATGCTAGCGTTCCTAGTGCGGCTTCCCTCCACTTCTCTTCAAGCCAGCGCTAATACTCAACTTGCTCTCAAGCCCTTAGGCAACAACTCAAACGTGGCTCAGCTTCAAATCCGGGCCATAGACGACGACAACTTCCTGTTCTTGTTATGGAATCTGATATTGAATACAAGAGTACCCCTCGTTTAAGTGTTCTCCTTAATCCAACGCCTGGCGACTGCGATGTTGTCATCACGACAGTAAACGCAGAGGTGTCCTCACTCTGAATCATCGACTCATACTAGGCAACCATTGAACGCCGCTGCTCGTGTGTCATCTACAAAACAACGCGTCAGCACATATACATACACTCCCGCAGTTACAAGCTTGAAGCAACATACTGTTCAGAATCGGGTTTACCAAGCGGGTATCCACCCCACTCTGGGCCAAAAACGACTCCAGAAACAAGAACGTCATTCGTCGTGTTGCCGGTGGGGAAGGACTGAACTCCGCCAAAAAGGACGACGGACGTCGACATGGAACTGGTTGATAGGTCCATTATCCATGATTGAAATGTATGACCCCATGGTGCTTGCTGGTGCGGTGGTGCCAGAGAGCGCTGTTATGTCGACTGCTTTCAAGTTAAGTCGCAGCCTACTCAGTCTAATTTTGGTCGCCATCATAACAATTAAAGCCAGGCCCAGAATTCGGAAGGGGCCCAAGCCTTCTGGCCACGCAAGAGCAGATGTGTCCCTGGAAAATGATCAGTCCCAGCGGTTTGCTTCTTCTCTTAGCTATTGTGGAGGGCCAGTATAAGTAAAAACAACCATCTTCGCCAGCAAAACGCCGACCATGGGTTCCTACGCCTCCACCCTCAACGACACCAACAACATCCTCTACATCAAATACGCAGCCAACAGCGTCGGGCTCGGGATCGCAGCCGTCGTCAGCGGCCTGCTCGGCGTCGTGGCCCTCGTTGTACTACTAGTAACGGGTGGTCTGATTGCCGTCGCACTCGTGCCTGCGGCTGCGTCGCTCACGTTGGGCACCACGGGAATCACGCTGACGCTAAGCGGTGTTGCGCAAGTCTTCCTCCCCCCTTTGTGTGTGGTCCGCTGATCACTTAGGCGCAATGGACCTAGCGACCAGGGATGCAGGCTACCGGGCCGTCGCGCCCGGGAACTCGTACAAGTCAAGCAAGCTCAGCTTGAGCCTCGTGCACCAGGCGGATGTTAAAATGGTCCAGAAGGTCAACGACAACACAATCACTATGTGGTCGGGGAGCTTCACGGTGTTCAGTGGCGCCACGGCGAAGTAAGCACTGACACGAATAGTGGAATCAGCTTACTCACGGTTGCGCCAGCTCGGTGAAGACATACAAGATGTCGCAGCAGCTCGGGAAGCTGGAGATGAAGCAGTTCATGTTCACGGACGCGAGCGACCAGACGCCACTGGCAGGTTTGCCCTCGCCGGACAGTTTGCCAACTTTTCGCTGGTGCAGTTTCCCCGACCAGAGTTCGGTGCGGTGGACTTGGGATTGCACTCGACATGTACCACATCAAAGCTGGCGGATTTGGATTGACGACACGTTCTCTGTTGGAACCGCAGCCCAGGTATCGTTGACAGTGTAATTCCTGAAAGATTGTCCCAAGGGAGAGAGATTCGCCCTTATCGTGTCAGC